AATTAAAAATATATAGAAAAACATATAGATATTAATTAAAAGTAACAAATTTATATTTTATAATTCAGACGTTATAAAAGAGAGAACAATCAAAGAGATAAACTTAAATAATTTAGAAATAAGAGCAAATGAAATAGAATAATAAAAGGTATTATAGACCAAAAAACCAATATTATTTTACGTTTTATATCTACAAATTTGATATGATATCTACAAAATTGAATTGTGCACGGTATTCACACGATATCAATTGTAAAATATAAATAATAATCAAAAGTTAGAAATTATAGTTTTGTAATAAAAAAATTCCATAAATATAGTACAATTTATCTAAATACACCAAAATATTATTCAATACGAGACAAAGAGATGTTGAAACTTTGCTTTAGCAAAGTTAGAGACATAGTCCACTTATGTCAAGAGATAAATAATTTCATTTCTAGTGGAGATTTCCAAGTGGTAAATAATTAGAGAAGGATAGTGTTCGGATAATGAGGAATGACAACCCTAAACCGAAAAACAAAAGGCGAAAATCATATCGAAGACGCTTGAGATGAAACAATTCGTGTTGTTGATAGACAACCTCTGCACCGGTGTGGATATCCACAAGATCGGCTTCCTAAATCTAACCAAGCGAAGTAGATGCAAAGTAGTGTTCACTACTCCTTGGATGTCATGTCGAGATTGAGGTCCCGTTGTTGTCAGCGAATGATGTTTGAAAGTTTTTCAAGAAGGAAGTTGGAGAAATCTCATTTCACCCTGAGATCCCCTACCTAACTTGAGCAGTCGTTGTTGGATGCAGAGATCTCCCGCTAGCACTCGTCATTATCGGTAGTCGTTTCAAATTTTTTTCGGTGTCTTGATTATTTTATAAAATATAACTAATAAAAATTATAATTTGTATAATAAAAATTATTATTATTAAAATTATTTAATAATATAAAATTATAAATTTATATAATAAAAATTAATACAAAAATACCGAATGATTTTAAATATTATAAATTTATATAATAAAATTATTTAATGATAATAAATACATTTTATAATATTTTATGTGTTAATAATAATAATAATAATAATAATAATAATAATTTTCAAAAGAAATTCATAAATTTAAAGTTTATATCATAAATATAAATAAATATAACTGATTTTCAGTTTTTAAAATAATAATTATTATTGATATATTTTGAAAATTATAAAATTACTTTACAGATTTAATTCAAAGTTGAATTTTATTTAATCATAAATTAATGATAAAACAAATTTTGAAATGTAATTAATTTTTAAAATTTCATTTTTATTTTTTCTTTAATAATGTATAATAATTATGTTTAAAATATCTTAATGGACTAATCTTTTAAAAATAAAAAATAAATGTGAAAGCTAAAATAATATTTGTCTACACATAGATTATTTTTTTAATTATAGACATTAATAACAAAAAAATTCAAAAGCCCAAACATGTTTTGTTGTAACATTTGCACTTATTAAAAGACGGTCATAGCCTCAAAGGTGGGATCATGCAAAAAGACGGTTAGGGAATGGCGTTTGGCAATCAACAAGTTGACTTCGTTTGACGGAGCTAAATGGGATTACGAAGTCATTCTACAGCGTTTCGTCTCCTTATAGGTCCTATTTCGATTGTTTAAGTTTTCTTATCTCTTTTTTTTTTATATCGCCAAGCTAATTGGATTCTCTGTCTCCCCCGCAAGAATGATCGAAAGCCCAACACTGAGCGCAATATTCCCAAATCCAATAAAAGCCCAACATTCATCATTTTATTTCATTGGGAGCAAAAAGCCCAATAGGCCCATTTTGGCCCAGAAGATAAAACAAAGTAGTCTTGCAAAAAAGAATAAAACACATTTCCTAATATATATATATATATATATATATATATATATTCATGTATTCGGTGTAGAAAATTACACAAAAGCATGTCTTCATTTTTAATATTTGTAATTATTTATAAATATGTTCCATTGCTCGTTGTTTCTCTTCACCTCTTGCAGGTATCTTTTTACTTTTACAATTCATGAATGGACCCAAATCCCTTTTGCCTGATGGTTGGAATCAAAAGACATTTCATATCTCCATCGACATTTGTGTGAATGTGTTTAAGTGGTGGAATCCTGTTATTATTGATGAAGGTCCAGAGAAGCCTCTGCTTCTACTGGAGGGTAAAGGTTTGAGATTTTTTTTGGCAAACCGGGCATTTTTTACGGTACACCAATGGTTAGGTGGTTTTTATTTAAAAATATTTAATTTTAAAAAATCCTGTAATATTATATTCAATTTAAATCTAATGGAAAACTAGTGAGCCCACTGAAGTCTTGGGCCTTTTTCACTGCTGGATCCTTTATAAAAAGCCCATCAATCTAATCACCGGATTGCCATTCTTTCCCTCTCTCTGAAACGTCGATGATGAACAAAGGCGGAGGATTAGGCGGCGGTCTCGCCGGATCCGGTGGGGGAAGCGGACCGACGGCGGCCGCGGCAGCTGCGGCGGCTCAGAAGCAGAAAACATTGTTGCAGAGGGTAGAGAATGACATCACCAATGTCGTTGATAACTTCGCGCACATCGTCAGTGTCGCTAGGGTTGGTATTCAATTCACGTTGTCGGACTTAGTTTTTTCCCTTTGTTTTCTCCTGGGTGAGCGATTCGACATGAGTTTCGTATATTTTTCACTGCTTTATGCGTTTATTCATGAATTTGATTAGGGTTATGCTCACTAGCTGGAACTGTTACATTTTCCTACTCTACTCGCTGATTTTTACTTTCTTCTTTTCTCTGTACTTTCATTTTATGTTTCTCTTGAATTCATCGGTAAAGCTTTCGAAAAGTTCATTCTGGCCTATTGAAGTGTGCGGTCTTTGGTTGCGTTAGGTGGGTGATCTCCCAGTGAAGAACTCGCAGGAAGCATTCATGATGGAGATGCGTGCGGCTCGAATGGTATGACCAGGTCCCGTTTCATGACATTTCGCACCAATCATTTCAAATTTTTGAAGGAGTTGGTACATTTTATGCACATTCATGCTTCATAGTGTAGAACAATGCGGTATATGTATAACATAATCAAGTTTATAATATAGGCTCTTTACTTGGCAATTACATGGAGAGGGAACTCTTGATGTGTTCTGGTCCTATGATTCATAAGCTTTTCATGTGTTCCTAACTCTTTCCATAGGGTCGGTTGCCTGATAAATTTGACTTGTATTATATCATACTAGTTAAATTAATTAACTCATAAAAGAGGCCATCTAATCTAATAATACATATAGTTTTTCAATGATCAGTTAAATTTACATTTATTTCCAAAAAAATACAGTGTCTATATGAAATATTTTGTTTTAAAATAGTGTTATTCAATATAGTATCATTCTAATTTTCCTAGTTCAATAAGTTCATATTCTATGTTGGGGTTTCCATGAACAATACACTGTAATTTGGATTCATACCGTAAGATGGTACAGCTTGAATCTTGGCCATTGGATGCCATTGGATTTAGGAATGCGTGTAGACTCACTCCTCGCTTGTGTTTACTTATATTGTCTGAAGCAGACATTCTCTCGCCATCCCCGAGTTTGAGAAGGTTAGGGCAGTGTATATGTTGTTTCTGGTGTCGCTTTGATTGTAACGATTCGTTAGTTTCTGTCTTGTTGGCTGTATCTCTACTCTCCTCTTTGTTGAATTTGAGTTCATAAATGGCAGGTTCAAGCGGCTGACTCTCTTCTAAAGTTGGTGTCTGAGCTGAAGCAGACTGCGATTTTTTCAGGATTTGCCTCTTTAAACGACCACGTGGAACAGAGAATCGCAGAGTTTAACCAAGAGGCCGAGAGAACAAATCAGCTGTTGGCCAGAATCGGCGATGAGGCAGCTGCCAGTCTCAAAGAGCTGGAGTCCCATTATTATTCGTCTGCTCAGAGAACGAATCCAGATATGTAAAGCTTGAACCTATCCCTCTCTATGAACAGAGAAAGTAGGGCTGTATCCAATTCTTCATTTCGATATCCAATCTTTACAGAGGCAGATGATGTAGGAATTCTTCTGTGGGTGGGAAAAGGTAGAATGATTTTACATACTGACAATGGAAAATGCCTGATAAAGTCGGAGTCTACAGCAAGCCAATAACACCATACAAAAGCTGTTTAATGTTTTGAACTGTGGATTCCACAGAATCAAGAAAGTGTCTGTTCATTGTGAAAAGCTTTGCTCCTATGGATATGGATAAGCTAAACACAAATTGCTGAGAGGTCTCTCTCCTGCATGGACTTGACGATATTCAAATCTTATTGAGCACAGCTTTGAGGTGTGGTTGGAGATGATTTGTGTTCGTGCTCATTTGAACCTCGTAGGACAGTTTTCCGTTCACCAATTCAAAGACCCGGCTTATCTCCTTCACCTGTCGCAGAAACCAGCAAAAGAAAAAGTAATCATAACAATGGAGTTGCAGGGATTGTACTCGGAGTACGAAAGGTGCAACCTTTCATTTCTGAAACAAGTTTTGATCAGTTGCAAATTCGTGTTTATATTCGACCTTAGAAGCGTTTCCCACGAGTTGGCTTTGGAGCTTGATCACTTGCTCATCAGCATTATAAGTCCCTTTCTGAAAACGGAAATTGGAATTACACAGAAAACCCAAACTAGCACAAAAGTAGAGCGCTTGGCGGAAGAAGACGATGCAAATTTACACGCCCAATCACTCGATCAATCAGATTTCGATGACGAATTCTGCGAGGAAGATGAGTACCTGAACCTCGACGATGCCAGTGCTCTGAGCGATGACGACTTCAATGGTACCGTCGGGCTTCGGCCGCCAGAAACCGCTCTCGGAATGCATTGGCTCTCCCGAATTCAGCTTCCATGTCTTCTGGCTGTACGCAATTACCGGCTGTTCATCTCACACAACGAATTCCAAGACAAATAAGCCAAATTCGTCATCGAAGATCTAATCGAAAACGAAGAATCTCCATCATCATCAACAATGGAGATACGAGGATCGAATCTCAGAGAATGACGAATCGTGGAGATGACGAAGAAGAAGAAGAAGAGGATCTGATCGGGGGACCTTGCCGGAGTGGGAGAATTGAAGCTCTTCGCCATAGAGGAAGGAGGAGATGGTCGGAAATTGGCCTTCGCCTTCGCCTCTCCACCTTCCCAGGAGGTACGATATCGGCGCCACGGTGGGGTGCAGCGGCGGCGGCTGTCGATCTCCGTCGTATTCCATTTTTCGTCTCCGCCTCTCTCCGGTAAATTGCTATTTGAAAACCTCAAATATAGTATTTCATTACACAAACACTATATTACATGTTTAAATTAATAGGGTAATAATTTGTGTAAATTAATGCAATTATATAATCCAATAAGTGAATTTGACCACATTCCTTTTACTTTCCACGATATATCCAAGAAATGAATATGGCGACATTCCGCGTTAACTTGTATATATTTATTATGTTTTTTTTTTCACATTCGATCATTTGACCAAAAAAAGCTTGGGAAATACATCAATGTAGCTTTCTTGTCTTTCGGCAAATAGTGATCATCCCTAAAGTCAAGCTCTCTCCTGCTTTCTCCCATGGCGCGAATTTTGAGTCAGCCTTCTCAGACGGCGGAGGAGTCTCCGTTGCCGTCTCCACCGCCGCCGCGGACATCTCAGTGGAAGTACGACGTGTTCCTGAGCTTCAGGGGAGCAGATACGCGCAAAGGATTCGTTAGCCATCTCTACGGAGCTCTCTCGTCGGAGGGGATTTATACCTTCCACGACGACAGGGAGCTCGAGCGGGGAAATTCCATCTGGCCGGAGCTTCTGAGCGCGATCAAGGAATCTCGGTTCGCCATTGTTGTCCTATCCGAGAACTACGCGACCTCTCGTTGGTGCTTGGAAGAGCTATTGCACATAACCCAGTGCGCCGATGAGAATCGCCTTCAATTGATTCCTATTTTCTACGACGTTGAACCATCACATGTGGGTAGGCAAAGCGGGAGTTTCGAGGAGGCATTTCGGAAGCATGAAAAGAGGTATGATTCAGAGACTGTGAAGAAATGGAGAGAGGCTTTGGCCCAAGTTGCGAAGATTTCGGGTTGGGATTCCAAAACCTGGTGAGCACAATCACAGTTCTCAGTAGTCTGTGTTACCAATGAATGATGAGAATTTTCTGATGTTAGGGCAAAATGTTTCCAGATTTGCTGATCGCCTGTTCGTCCTTCTCTGTCGGGTTTTGACGCAGGGATGAGGAATCGAAGCTTACCAAGGAAGTTGCTCGTAATCTTTCAGCTAGATTATCATTGCCTTCATCTAGTGGCTCAAATGAATTTGTTGGAATGGATTCTCATATGAGAAAGATAGAAGCTTTGTTATGCTTAGACTCTGGAGATGTTCAAATGGTTGGCATTTGGGGTATGGGCGGTATAGGCAAAACTACGATTGCAAAGTGTGTTTATAGAAATCTCTCGGATATGTTTCAGGGCGCTTGCTTGATAGAAAACCTAAAAAGAGAATTCGAACTACAAACTCCACCACAATTACGGGAGAAAATCTTGTCGGATATCTTAAGAAACAAGCACCTGAGCATAAGGGGAGATGATCCTTGCGTGATGAAGCAGAGGCTTCGGGGCAAAAAGGTTTTTCTTGTTCTCGATGATGTCAATGATGTAAAACAACTACGAGAATTGGCTGGAAGCCTCGAGTGGTTTGGACCCGGAAGCAGAATCATTATAACCACCAGAGACAAACGCGTGTTAGAGCAGCATGATGTGGAACACATATATGAAGTCGAGCCTCTGAGGCGCATCCCAGCACTTCAGCTCTTCAGCTGCCACGCCTTCAGACAGCCTTTCCCACATAAAGATTTTAGGGAGCTATCGGTCGATGTTGTCCAGCAACTTGGTGGTCTTCCATTAGCTCTTTGTGTCGTTGGTGCATCTCTATATCGCAGAGACGTAACATTCTGGGAAGACAGCTTGCTTCTACTGGATAATGAACTCGATAGTTCCATCTCAAAGGCTCTGAGAGAAAGTTACGAAGCCTTGAATAAGCGGGAGAAAATGGTCTTTCTTTATGTGGCATGTTGTTTCAATGGGGTGCGAGTGGATGAAGTGAGCAAAGTATTAGATCTTTTTGTTGTGGGTTCTGGTTCTGGATGCCGATCGTTCACCGGGCCAAGCATCAGGACTCTGGCAGAGAAGTGTTTGATTAGCATCTCAAACAAGAAGATACTGTGGGTGCATGATTTGCTCCAAGATATGGCCAGGGATATCATTTGTGATGGAAAAGAGGAAAACCCATGGAAGCGTAAGATGCTATGGGACGTTGAGGATTTCGATAATGTATTGTGTGAAAATATGGTAAGCAGTGAATTATCTGAGAGTCGGATCATTTACATTCTTATATTCTATATATGTATGTGTGGTGAAAAATGGTCGTGAAAGTTTCCATCTATTCTCTCCTATGGGTTGGACTCATCTTTCACTCGTCATCAACAGGGTGGTGAAGCAGTTGAAGTAGAGAGTATATTTCTCAACATGGCCGAAGAAAGGGAGCTCTTTATAAAACCTGCCATCTTTAGAAGGATGTTTAATCTCAAATTTCTCAAGTTTAGTAACAATTTCAGCGCTGGAGGAAGCAAGACGTGCATGCCTGATGGCCTTGACTATCTTCCTATGCTGAGATATCTTCACTGGGATGCTTACACTCCAAAGTCCTTGCCTTCGGGGTTCCGTACCATCTATCTAGTTGAACTTATTCTCCCAAACAGTTCAGTTGAAACACTTTGGAGTGGAACCCAGGTACTATTTTTCTGTGTTGTGCCAGAATTCAGCTAGTTCACGGGCTAGTAGTCCTTTCTTCCGTGTTGATGCTGATATATTAAGAGAATGCCTTCTGTTGATATCTTTTGCACAGAAAAGAGAATCTGCTTTTTGTTTCCTGAATTTAATTATTTAGATTACTGTTGTGGATTTAATATTGTTCCGCTAAAGGAAATGGTCTGGTCACCTAACCGTGAGGCGAACTCTTTGTTCTTTATGTGGCAGGATCTTGCGAATCTGAGGCGGATGAACCTTAGCAGAAGCAAACGCCTCACCGAAATCCCAGACCTCTCTAAAGCTACGAATCTTGAGAAGTTAGAGCTGCGTAGGTGTGAAAGCTTGGTTGAGCTCCATTCTTCGCTTGAACACCTGAATAAACTCGTTGAACTGGAGCTGAGCTACTGCAGGAAACTCAAGAGTCTTCCAAATAACATCAATTTGAGGGCCCTTAGATCCCTTCATGCCGACGGGTGCCCAAGTCTGAAAGAATTTCCATTCATTTCAGAGAACGTTGAGGAATTGTCGCTCGATGAGACATCAATCGAAGAAGTGCCACAAGATATTGAGCTGCTCTCGAATCTCAGAGTATTGTACTTGTCAGGCTGCAAGAGACTAAAGAATCTTCCGGGCACCATCAGGAATTTGGATTCGCTCACAGAGCTCTTGTTGACTGATTGTCCCAATATCACCTTATTTCCAGAGGTTGGAAACAACATAGAAAAACTCTCCCTGAAAGGAACGGCAATAGAAGAGGTGCCTTCAACAATAGGGGACAAGTCGAGGCTCCGATACCTCAACTTGGCGGGTTGCCAAAAGCTCGGGAACCTGCCTCCCACTCTGGGAAATTTGGCACGGCTGAAGTTCTTATTTCTTCGGGGTTGCACCAATGTCACCATGCCCCCCGAGGTCAGGGGCCGGATGATAGCGCTCGACTTACACGGGACATCCATTGAGCAAACTTGCTTGCCAGTTCCCTCTGATGAGGAACCGCATGATATGCCTGGCTTGGCACGGTACATCTATCGGTCTGTCTTGGAAGTCCTCAGAAGCCAGAAATCTCGAAAGTTATGATACTCTCAAGAGTCTCAGACAGGATAGCTTCTCGATCCTAAACAACTGTCTTTCATATGGATTTTTTTCCGGTTTCGTTGAGGTTTGCGTTCGTCACCATATGCAGAAGCCCATTGCAATCTTCAAAATGCATTCCGGAGTTGGTAGGACCTGACATATTCCATTGAACTCCGAGTATGATTCTTTGAAACCAGCAGGAAATTTCTGTGTCGCAGCAGGAGGCGATCCAACAGTCACGCCACTACATTGTCATGTTCTCCGAGAACTATGATACCTCTCCTTGGTGCTTGGCAGAGCTTTTGAGCATCACTCACCGTGCCAGAAACAAGAGCCTCGCAGTAATTCCCGTTTTCTGTGTGAAGAGGCAAACAGGGAGCTTTGGAATAGCCTGTGAGAAGCATGAACCTGAGATGGTGAGAAGTTGGAGAGAGGCTTTGTCCCTTTCTCCTACTCTCTTTCCCATTATCTAAAAGGTGATAAACAGTACGTGTGTCTCATTTATTCAGGTATCATTTCAATTCTCTTGAGATCTTAGATATTCTAACAAAAACTAAAGCGAACTCCAAAACAATGAGCAACGAATAGGATACCGGAGTTCATGAACAAAAGACAATTCCAAACTTCTGAAAACAGTTAATTGGTGGCTGTGTTTGATTCCACAGCTTACAAAGGAAAGGTACAATAAAACTGCAAGATTATAACGACAAGTTCATCATTCTACTTGGAGAACTTGAGAAGGTTAACTTCATTCCCAAGGTACTGAAAAGGGAATCTCTCAGATCCAACATTGCTTCCGAGATCGTGATCAGTCAATACTGCAGCCTGGTTGCTTGTACCGACCAAATGTTTTGCTTGTGTCGGAGGCTGAATGTTCGTGGAAGAAGAAGAAGAAGTAAGAAGCTTGTCCAAGAACGACCAATCTCCTCCATAGCTGTTCGAAGTCAACCTCAGAAGATTCTGAGAGCATTGGAGATCTGTAGTGTTCAGAGACACGAATGGGTGAGCTGCCATGGCCGATTCAGGGCTGAAGAGCTGTGGGAGATGCATTGAGTTGTGGTCGAAGGTGTTGGCAAAGTCGTACAGTGGCTGCTGGTGAGTGGTGTGATGATGGCGATGATGATCAAGGGGATGCGGAAAGGAAGAAGGGTTGTTTGGATTGGGATTAATGTTGTGGTGATGGTGATCATAATGATGATGATCGGTGTCGGTACTCATGTAATGGTGGCTATGATCTTCTTGGTCTTGGTGAAAGCCTCTGAAATGGTTCTTTTTCTTGAATACCCTGCAAACTACCCATCCATCTTCCTGCAAATCACACATCATCATCATCATCATCATCATCATCATCATCATCATCATCATCATCATCATCCGTGCACTACAAGAAAACCATCATTTCTTGGTGACCAAGGTAGGTCAAACCACAAGTAGCATTGAACCAATGGTAATGATCGTCCTTTGTAAGTGGAATTTGTTATCACCTTTCATACTAGACCGACACCTGAAAGTTTTCAGTATTTCTACAGGCAAAGGAGATATATATACACATATATGATTTAGCATATATATGGTACCTGGATTTCGTTTTCGCTATCGTCGAGACGATATTCATGCATGATCCATTCGGTTTTCTGACCATGAGGGGCCCGGCCAGTGTAGAAGACAAGAGTCTTCCTAAGCCCAATCTTCTTGGAGCTTCCTAGATGGATGGATTTGTCTCTGCCAGTGGCCTTCCAGAACCCAGCTGCTGTGGCTCGGTTTGTTCGGGTACCCGTTGGGTATTTCTTGTCCTTGTGGCTGAAGAAGTACCACTCGTTCTGAGGACCCGACCCGACCCTACATTTCTCTGCACACGTACGTATATGAAATACAACATTTTCACTCGTTCTAATTTGATTTAGTCAGGAAAATCTCAACCGGCCCAAACCGAACTGAAAAAACCAAAACTAAACCGCACCAAATTAAACCAACCCCATAAAACCGATAAAGCAATGGTTTTGAGGTTTGGAAATTACACGGTAAAAATTACATATATTTAGTATTAATTTTTTATATTTGGTTTTGCACTATTATCCCATGACTCCTTGTCCAATATTATCTCAAACGGGAATATCTTGTAACTATGATATAAAAATGATCGACAAGATGACGTGGATTTCTTATTACGTATGAAATCGGAACATAAACTAAGATTTTTCTTTTTTGTATACAGTATACAGAAATATATGTCAATGTTGGTAGTCGAATGACGAAAGCAATAGTAATTTGTCTTCTGTTAGCAGACAAGAGAAATCAAATTAAAGGACACAAAGAAACGACTTTGTCTCTTTCTTGATGGGATATATATACATGTATGCATTCACGATTCCACCAAAACTGGAAAATTAAACACTCATATAAAAAAAAAAAAGACATAACCAGATGCATGTTTTCATGAATATGCAGACAAAAATAACCCTTAGACAAATAACCAGAATTTGGGTCTTTGAACATTGACGTGTAACTTGTAGTCTTGTGCAGGACAACTATATATATATATATATGTATTCACCATATATATTCACAAATGCTTTGTATCTATCTCTATCAAGAGAAATAAAATACACACACTTTCTTATTTAAACACTTTGAAATCCGTTTTATAGTAATATATAACTTAGAAAACGTTTGATGTGATAATATAATACTGCTAATTGAGAAAATAGATTATTATTAGATTTAAATGGGTGGATTAGGTGATGATGATAATCAACAAAGATACAAGTGATATAGAGCAATATAGCGAAGAAGTACCTTTAAGATCCCAAGGCTCAAGCTTGTTGAGATCAACTTCTCTTATAACATCCAAATCAATGGCTTCATATGACACTTTCTTCTTGAGGTAATAGTAAAGAAGCTCCTCCTCGGTCGGATGGAACCGAAAGCCCGGTGGCACCAACAGTTGTCCTCCTCCCGACAACGACGTCGATGAAGATCCTATCTCCATCCTCGCTGTTCTTTAAGCAAATCAAGATCCGGTTCCTTTTTCTTCCTTTCCCTGAAAAAAATATCAATTGGAAAGAACAATGTTACATACTATATATGCGTACTTTCATGAATCCAAGGCGTGAATCTCTCGGTGCGATTCACATGGCGATTTCGAGTGGATGAAAATAGATTTTGTAATTGAATGAAAAGATGAAACCGATGCCAATGGATCGACGTCTTCTTCTACCATATATGTGTACCTTCATGTTTCACACATGAAATAAAGATGTACTTGCATATATTTGCGATGCTTGAAGGCCTTGTAATGGATATATCACCATATTTGTGTAACGTCACATCCATGAACCGATATATATACACACATATATATATATATATATATCCACTAAGTCTACTATGTATATATCAGACCATACAATAGATCTTGAACGAATCTAAGAGGTTCTCCAAAGTTTCTGGTTCGAGTTTTCTAGATCGATAAAAACCCTAGCTATAACATGCATGAGATTCATGGATATGTATACATTGAAGAACAAAAGTTCCATATATTTCTTACATAAGTGGGTTCCAATTGAAAACATGAAGCAGGAAACCGAACCCCGTTTGTAAGTTTTGAAGTCTCTTTCTTATTAGGTATCAGAGTTTCAACAACTCTATACATGTTCTTGAGAGATCAAACAGAAGAAACGAAAAACAGGGAATATCCAAGAAAATTATATGCTCGTGTGTGTGCACATATAGGCAAAGAGGTATATGTATATATACATGCATACATAGATATGGTGTCGGAAGAAATGGAAAGAAATCTAACCTTGGAGGCTGGAAAATCTTGCTTCTGTTACAGGCAAGAGGTAGAAGACAATGAGAGAGAGGCAAAGAAGCAAGCTGAGAGAGTTTGTTTTGCAAAAATGGTGATATCTTAACTTCAAGGGCACGATGTTTAGGGTTTCTAGAGAGAGAGAGAGAGAGAGAGAGAGAGAGAGAGAGAGAGACGTGGGCTGTGTATGGATCAGTGCCAAGATTATTAATTTGCAACAATTATTTTTAAAACCGAAGATGGTTACAGAAATATATGAACAACAGTAAATTATTACAAAAATCTATATATGTTGAATATATATAACAGGATATAAAATTCCACTACGCACAAAGGCCCTTTGTACATGTATTACTAAACTATATAGTTCCCCAAAACAAGATTTTCCACTTTTAACATTCTCGGCAACATTCTAAATATAAGTTTACAGAAACAAACCAACTAGATAAAATATATCAATTTTTTAATTTTGATTTAATATATGGAAATATAGAGTATTTATTGAAATTTGATGTGTACATCATATGTAATTTTGAGGATTAGCTCTAAATTAAACACCATGGATTACAGCTGTGCTTTAGGACTGATTCATTTGCTTAGAAAACAAAGTACACATAGATTAATGAAATGATTAAATGCAGAATACTATATAGTATAATATATAATATATGATCTGTTTATGTGTATCCCAAGGACAAAACAAGAATTGAAGCTTCTATACCCTCAACTTGCAGTCAAATGTTGGGAGGAAAATGATGCGTCGTACCTTGAATTATGCTCCCCGAATTTTATTATTATTGCATCAATTTCAGTGCAGCTTCAATTTTTTTCTTGCAGTTATTTAAATAAAGTTCAAATTAATTCAATTTATTTATTTAGACTGACCTTTGAAGCTAGCTCATCAAATGCATGGTCTAATTAATTACCGATTTATTAATTGAATGCAGTATTAACTTAGGTCATTAATTAAGATGAAAAGGCTAAACTAATACCATGAAAATATGTAAGTTGGTAAATATATTATGGATATATACATGAAAACATTATACGCAATACGATTCTCATAGTTTAATACAACATTTAGGCGTGTAAATGAATATTATTCATGTACATGAACAATGTATCTATATTCCTAAATTTTTCATGCCACAATGTTATTCCCCTATGAGTTTTAATCTTGACTTTAAAAGGAGAGAGAAAAAATAATTTTTTTACCAAGTAAATAGTAAAACAAAAAGAACTAATTATTTTCTTATTGTCATGTGTAGAGTTTAATTTATTTTCTTTTGCTAGAGTAATATATTAATTTTTTTTATAATAACTGCTACCCTTCGGATATACTTACTAGGTAAATCTCCGATCCGCGAGCAACCTTTGTATATGGATCATATAAACCCAGAAATTATCTCCCTTTCTACCAGTCAGGAATCGAACACTCAATCTCAAAGTGGAATTACCTCATACCCCTAACTTGACTACTCGCCCACGATCTATTGGGTGTAATATATTAATATTTTTTAACGCATTAGATGTCATTCGGATATTGTATTGAATGAATTGAAGCCCTTTTTAAAAGAAATTACAGTTTTTGAGTTTTTCAATATTTCAAATAAAATTTAGTGCTTCATATGAAAACCATGAAGAAGATTTTTTTTCCTTGCCTTTGATATTGATTTATTTTCTTTTTAAGACAAAAAAAAATAATCCGTGGGCGTACGTGTGGAGTGGCACGTGAGGGTGAGGACCTGAAAGACAAAACCCCCCGAAAGGCCGTGGAGGTGCACGTGATGGGCACAACACCATCTGCACAATTCAAGGTCTCGTTTGACTATGCCACTCTTGGGATACGTGGCCCTTGCATACAATTATGATCTGTGCGTACGTATATCCATTATACACGTTATTATTCTTTGTATCATAGTATATACAATTATTTAGTTACAAAAGCAAATGTAAATATAGGGTGCCCATATATATATAATATGCGCGTGTGTGTATGTATATAAAACATATCATTTATGATAGCGTACTTATACATTTATATATAATTACAGGTATATGTAAGCGTATATCATGAGAAACAAGAAAAGAATAATATATATAATAAATCTATTAAAAAAAGTTGATACCGCTACTGATATATCCAAATCACAATGCATAAAATTCATATGCTTTTCTCAATATAATAGCAGACACATTGTAATGTGCCGTTGCCTTCACGAAGACTTCATGCATTTAAACCATTATTAATTCGATTTAATCATATGGATACCAATATATATGCAGCAATTTTATATAATATACGTTATTTTTCATTATGCAAATATCGTACATCTAAATCCCCGGTTTAAATCTTAATATTTCTACTATACAAAAAAATTATATATAAAAATATAAAAATGATAGGAAATTCGTCGAGTTTGTACTTGAATCGTTATAAAAAAATAAATGTGCAATGTTCAACTTTTTTTTGTTTTACAAATAGTTGATTATCAAATAAAAAAAAGAAACGATTAGTATATGGTAGACCACCATGTATATATACATTGAAAATAAAAACAGATATAATTACAATAATAAAAACGAAAAAGACATGAAAGACGATTAATTAATAAGAATCATCATTATTAAAAATAAAATTGCCAAAATTTCAGTCAATAGACAAAATTTAGAAGATAAGAAAAATGAAAAGAGCTAAAAAAAATAATAAAAATGGAAAAAAGCAACAGATGGAAATTTTGTCCAAAAAAAAGCAACAGATGGAAAAGAAAATGCAAATCTCAAAATGAGATTCTCCACGCGCTCCAATTGCGCAAATCTCGAATTCGGCCCGTTTTTGTGGACTATAGTCCCGGAAAATCAGGCGCGTGATGCTAACTCGCATCAGGTGCGCGTGGGACATGTAGTTCCGCATCTCGCTTCATGAGCTTGTGGCCTACTAACTTATAGGCAGGCCCAAATAACGTTTTATTCAGTACCATATTAAGTGGGCCAATAATTTTAGGAATATATATTATTTAAGGCCCATAAAGAATATAACTAGATTTATTTACTTTATACTTTTTTATGGTAAGAATATAAACGAATTTAGTTGCTCTTATTACGATTTTGTAATTTACTTATTTTTTTTGGTTGAAAGAATTTTGTCATTTACTTGGTCTCAAGGTGTATGTATATATGTATGCCTGTGTATGTTAGATATTTCACCACGTAGGATCCACATTGAAAACAAATCATAAAAACCATATTACAAGAGAATAAATTCATTTGTGAAAAAAAAAAATTCTATTTTATTCCAAGCTTGTTATTTTAAATCAAACATGAACCACACTACTGTGTTAGCCTAAATGGGTACATAACAAAGAGGAGCCATTTGCTAAAATTTCCAAACACAGAGATCAGGAAACATGGATCTCACTGTTCAAGTTGTCTGAAAACAACTTTCACAAACATTTCAGAAACAGACAAGATTCCAAATCCAAATCCAATAACGTGTCTCTCAACAAGGGGCATGACCATATCCTCTGGTTACCTCCTCACACAGTCTAAACATGTCACTAATAACTCACTTGACATAGACATGTCCAAAGCCTTCTTTCCAAGAGCATTCTCTACCAATCTGCATATCTTTGTTCTTTTACAAGATGCTGTTCTCATGTCTATGATTTCCAGTCAGCTTCTGACGGTTTCATTGGACGACGATGCTACGAGCGTTATAGGCCTAGCAGCTCAGCTCTGTCCCGATATCAACAACGTGACCAAAGACATAAATATTTGTCATAACAAAGAGGGGGGAAGCCTGAAACATTCCAAGAATGTTTTAGTAAGTTCAGAACCAAGAAGAGAACATTGCAAACCATGGAAGACTGCCAAAAAAACATCACTTTTAACTTATACACAACAGGCAACGGCTTGAGAATAAGAAAGCGGGATAACATATAACGAAATGCACGAGATATAACTTAAGTCTATAAAGTAGTAGGTTACTCAGCCATAATTGAAAACGTGAACTGCTACAGAAAAAGCTAAGGAGAACTAAATGGCACTTCCTCCTCCTTGCAGGTTTAGACACAAGCCATAACTTGTCTGCCCCTTTGTATTGATCTAGAAATGCTTTCTTACTTAATAACTCAATTTTAAGAAAATTGGGCAGAGAAATTAACGCATCCGGAAAGGTCGTATTACCTTTACCTTTGATTAAGGTGAGGAAGCTTCTTCCATGGATACACATCCAATGATGGACCCTCCAGCAGGAATGCACATTGGTCTAGTTTCTCTCCATTTTAGAGGCATGTCTAAAGGGTTGCATACCCTTACAACACCCAATCTCACTATGTCAAATCTCCCAGCCCCAGATTCTTCCCATTTCAGAACCTTTCCTCCAATTACATACAGTTCATGTCTTAAAGCAGCAAAGCCGTATCCAAAAGCCTCTAACTCTCTCGGATGATTAGGCAGAACGACGGAAGGAACTGAACCGACATTGTTCCATTCTCCTTTTTCAGTATCCCTAGTCTTGATCAAGCTCTCTCCCCAATCGACAATCGTATATACTCGATCATCTTCCATCACCTGAACAGCAAACTGCATGGCTCTCGAGAAAGGCCATACATCCTCCACAGTGGACCATGTCATGTCTAATGGATTAAACACTTCGGATGAATTTTGCTCCGCAAAGCCCACTTGGTCGCTCAGAACGTGAAAGCTGCCTCTGTATGATAAGCCCAAGCAATCCATCTGTGGTCTGGGCATCATTGGCAGTTCCTCCCATCTGCGAGACTGCTGTTAGAACTCAGATGGACGGTTTTCTCTACGTAAAACACTAGAAACGCCAAAAAAAATTATATCCTGCAAGTTATAGACTAAACAGAATAGAGAACATCGCACAAGCTTTTCATTCTTGCATGCATAATCATATAAGGCTTCTATAGGTAACATTTAAATAAAGAGAAAATATCAGGGAATAACCATCAATATCTCATCTCAACGTTGAGAGATAAAATATTGATGAGAGACAAGAATACCGCTAAACACAACCATGACTAACAAATTCGAGTATCTGACTATCGCAGAAGCGTGTGTGCTTCAATTAACAGAATGTGAAAGAGACCACATGGATCAATGTTCCATTCTATCTTTTCAGAAGTTAGAGCAAATTACTAAAGAAAGAAACAAGAGATGAATCAAAAGGACACTAGATGTCAACATGGGCATAAGACTTTACACCAAACATATACATTCAGTCTTATAAGACCAAATGAGCCATCCATCATTTGTAAAAGTAAATACCTATCAGCCACAGGATCATAAACCTCAGCAGATGTGATGCCTCTGGAATGGGTTAAGTTCCGACCTCCAGCCACATAAACCTTTCCCGAGACAACACTGCAAGCAAAATGGGTCCGAGGTGTTTGCATGCTCGCTACCATTTTCCATTCTTTCTTGAACGGATCAAACTTCATGACATCTCTTGTCACGACGGGTTTCTGGTGAGGAAATGAAGAAACAGAAGGGGCATAGCAACCACCAATCACAAGAAGAGCATTCGAGACACAGACACAAGCAAATCCAGAATGGTGCCAGCCCTCTTGAACAGCTCCAGTTCTTGGCAAGGGATGCCACCTGTCAGCTTCCGGGTCATAAGCAATCCACTGATTCTTAGAACGTTCTGTCAGCACGAACAACCAACTGCCTGACCACCCATTTCTCGATTTGTAGTTTGCATACTCGGGGCTACGGATCAAATCTCTCCACCCTTTGGAAACACATTCAAGAACTCCATGACACCCATGGGAGAGCTTTGCAAGACATCTCAAAGCCAAATCATCAGGCAATCCTGGGATAATCGACTGTTTTCTGGATTCCCTGAGAACAGTTATTACATATGAATTAGTCAATAGTTTTGCTCAATCATGATAATGCAGTGTCTAACCCAATATCAATTTCTCTAGCCTTAATGAAAAGAACCGGAGTCTATGTCGATCCCTAAACATCATGGCATATTCGAAATTTCCTCAGGATCACATCAACAACCCAGAATTCGTGAAATCAAAATGAACAACAATTTGGATTCCGAAACCTCGACCCAGATAATATCGACTTAGATATTGCAAAGGCAAATTAGCTTCAAATCATACCCCAAAACTATTCCGGAAAAGGTAAAGTCAATGGATTTAGTAACAAAAGCGAAGAGAAATGGTAAGCATCGCACTTACATGATTCAAACTCGCTAGGTTGTTGTATATTTTCCGATCGCCTTTTCAAACTATCACATATACCAAAATATTCCTTCACTTTCCCACACTTTCTATGCAAGCAAACATCATAAGCGAAGCTACTGAGAAACCATGTAAGGAATCTTCTATCTGATCTCTTCTTGTATGAAAAGATGGTCTGAGAGCAAACACGCTCTTCGAGACGGGAAGCCAAGCGGAGGAGAGAGAAGAGAGACGGACATGGGAAACAGATAAATTCATTTCATATAAATGGGACAGAAGTTTCTCTAAATTTTTATTTGCCCCAATATTTCTTCATTTGTATTTTTAACCCATATTATCTTAATACTTTCTGTTTTTAGCCTGCAATTTCTTAAAATCCTCGATTGACCCGTTCCGCGAACGACGACGTTTATAAGCTGGCATTGTGAATCCCTTTTGAGTGAAAGGACAGCTACAAATTCTCGGCCTTTGCCCATCGTTCGCCGGTCGTTTCACGCCTTGCAAAACTCATAAGGACGATCTCGTTTTAATCTTCAAGGCGTAAACCCCGAAAAAGTCAATCGGCTTGATCGAAGATCCGAGAGAATTCTGGGTAAGCTATTCGATTCTTTGAACATTATGATTTAGGTCAATTTCGATGCCATTTCAATTGGGAATAATTCAGGCACTGAATCGTCCGATTGTACCTGGATTTCTGGATCCTGTATGTATGTATTTTATTCGTAGCGAGTTCTGGGTCATGGATAATTTCTGCCTTCTGGGTACGAGCAATTCAGGTCCTTCCGCGTGAAATTTGGCAATAATCGCAATTTTTTATATGTTTCTTATGTACAATTTGTCGATCCTGTTGATCTGAGTCGGGAAAGCAATGGTATTTTCCCCGATTGTTATGGATCGGCTCAAAAGTTTTCAGATGTTCCGCAGTTCTCTGCTATTCCCGAAACTTCTTTCTGGTATGGATTTCAGATTCTGGGTGATGTAAAGGAAGTTTTTTTCTTTCCGTTCGTAGCAGGGATGTAGCTTATAAGTTTTATGAAACTAGCTTCTTGAGTTGATCTTCGTTTGATGAAATTAGTTTGTTGTATGACAATTCGTTTGTTCCTATCATGATTTGTATATGGAAGATAATTTTGTATCAGCTTTTAATCAGATTCGGATTAGCTTACAGGTCAATGGCATCTTCTTCGGATTCATGGGTGAGAGAGTACAATGAAGCGTTAAAACTGTCCGAGGATATCAATGGCATGATATCGCAACGGAGTTCGTCGGCTGTATCGGGGCCTGAAGCTCAACGTCATGCCTCTGCAATACGAAGGAAGATCACGATACTTGGGACGCGATTAGACAGTCTGCAATCCCTTTTAGCTAAGATTCCGGGGAAGCAACCTATGTGAGTAATCTCTATCTAGTTGCCTTTCAAAAGTTAAAACTGCAGATGTTTTTCTTGCTCGAATATTCGTTCTGTCTGAACGTTTGTTGACTCTTGTGTTGTGTGTGACATGTTGATGCACAGTTCGGAGAAAGAGATGAATCGCCGAAAGGACATGATTGGAAATTTGAGATCAAAAGCAAATCAGATGGCATCTGCTTTGAACATGTCCAACTTTGCAAACAGAGACAGCTTGCTTGGGCCAGAAATTAAGCCAGCCGATGCCATGAGCAGAGTTTCTGGCATGGACAACCAAGGAATTGTTGGTTTTCAGCGTCAAGTTATGAGAGGTAATGAACTATATATATATATATATATAATGTATATGGGCTTTTGCATTTCATCCTCTATTCCGCTGTTGAGGTTCAAGAGGTATTTCATCCTCTGTTGAATTTTCTCTCTTTTTTCCTTAATATCCCCTAAACAGAGCAAGATGAAGGGCTTGAGAAGTTGGAGGAGACAGTCATGAGTACAAAACACATTGCATTGGCTGTTAATGAGGAGCTGGACCTGCAGACACGGCTTATCGTATGGTTTCTGTTTATTTTCTTTTGCTGCCTTTGATTTCGTTGTCTGATATTAAACACATCTGAGGTTATGTTCCTTATATGCAGGATGACTTAGACTACCATGTGGATGTTACTGACTCCCGCTTACGGGTAATACACATTTCAACTCTCTATCTATTTGATCAAATAAACCTCATATACTATGCCCATGTGTGAAAGAAATGGTCACATCAAGACTAAGAAATGGTCATATACCATGCCACATTGTACTAAGCTAATGATGGTTCCTATAAAAGTAATGGCGAAATCAACTATATGACTAATTGTTACCTTTCTTTGGAATGATGACAGCGAGTGCAGAAGAGCCTCGCCTTCATGAACAAGCGGATGAGAGGAGGATGCTCATGCATTTCCATGCTCTTATCGGTTATTGGGATTGTGGTTCTGGTCGTTGTGATTTGGCTGCTGGTTAAATACTTGTAATGGCAACAAGGAAAAAACATATGGGCTTCCTCTTGTTCTCGTGGTTCTATCCATATTCCTCTCCTTGTGTTTGTGCTCTCTCCTGTTTTCCTTGTGATTCCCTCTTCTGTGAGACCAATTATGTAGCGTGCAAGAACACTCAAAAAAGTATATATAATGTGTAATGGTTTTCACATCTTTGCAACCTGTAATAAACGTGTGTTGTGTGTTTTCAACTCCTTATTTGTACAGATGCCTGTGTCAGGGTAGACCTGCTTCACATGTACTGTTATTCTAATTCAATCTCCTAGTTGAGAGACGACAGATTCAGAACTTGCACATTCTCGTGGTCAGACTTTGCTTCTGTAAATGGTTTCACTTGGACACATTTCTGGAGGTTTACAAGGTCCATGGTGGTTACAAACAGACAAAGAATGATATACCTATCACTAGAGTATGAAGCAATTCTGTGGTTTTCGAGTGTGTTCTGCCTTAGAACATTTTACCATCCAGTGGGAAGAAAAAAGAGAAAGGCCTATGAGATTGGTGAGGAAGAAGATGATGGTGTTGTGGCTCGAAGTAGTTGTTGCAGAAACCGAGCTGCAAGACGTTGGCCGACGCCACCCACCACCCGTCCTCCAAGGTTTCTTGCCTCCGCTTGTTGCAAAACCTGATCAAACCCAAAGGGGAATTTAGCTCATAAACGAGTTTAACGAAAACACGGGCAGAAAATTTGATTGGTTGCAGATCAGATAGATCCCCACGGAATTTACCTGTAATATAGGCTGCAACAGAGCTGGATCAAAGTTTTCAGAAGAACGAAGAAGCCCCCAGATCCTATAGACCTGATCCCGAAGTTCTAACATGCTTTGGATTTCAGAGCTACTCATAACCAGAGGACCGTTTCCATTCCCGTTAAAGACCAGAGACCTCAAAAACTTGGGAATGGAATTGTATGTATCAACAACCGTGCCCAGAGCAACAGCTTCGCTAACCCGGACAGCCTCTTTGATTACCAACACCCTAAGCTCCTCACCATTTGGATCCAGAAGCAGCTTCAGAACAGGCTGTAAAGCATCTTTCGCCGAGAAATCCCTGTCTTTGCTTCCCTGTTGTAAAAGGTTTTCAAGTCTGTTCCACCGAAATTTTCCATCCTTGAACAGCAGCTCGATAAGAGCATCCCTTAGATAAGGGTTTGGGTCTGTGAGAAGCCTTTTGGCAAAATACGGATACGAAGCAGCCAGCACTTTAAAATTAGGATCTGCATAAAGGGCCAAACCTTCAAGCACGGTAAGAGATCTCAGAATCAACGCGTAGTAGGCTGGGACATTAAAGGGATACTGATAGAAAACGGAACCTAAACCATCAACCAGTGTCTTAAAATTGAGCTCGCTGACGGTATAAGTAAGAGCATCATCAAAGAAGTTCTGCAGTGCTGGGACGATAGGAGAAACGTCCACATCTGGAGACAAGAACTTCAAAGCATAATAATCACGGGCCATTGCTTCATAATCACGGTTAACTAAGTGCACAACGTGGCCAATGATAGCAAATCTAGCCTCCTCCGGTGTCTCGCTCATCATGCCAAAGTCAAGAAAGGCGAGTTTTCCATCAGGTGTTGCCAAGAGGTTGCCAGGATGAGGATCAGCATGGAAAAAGCCGTACTCCAGGAGTTGCCTTAGGCTACACTGAATACCTGTATTGACAAGGTCCAAAACCTTCAAACCTTGACTCTCAATGGCATCTTGCTCGTTCAATTTAGTCCCATCGACCCATTCCATTGTTAGCACTTTGCGGCTCGTATAATCCCAGAATATGTCAGGCACAAGAACATCTGCTTTATCAGCGTACAGTTTCTTGAACCTTCTAGCATTCTGTGCCTCCTGGACATAATTTAGCTCCTGATAAACCCTGCCGGCAAATTCATCTACGAGGGCCACAACATCACTCGTGATGAAGTCTACATACTTGTTTATGAGAATCCCAACACCTCTAATGAGATAAAAGTCAAGCCCGATGGCTTCTTCAATTCCAGGGCGCTGAACTTTCACAGCTACAACCTGACCCGAGTACTTCAGCTGGGCTTTATAAACTTGGCCAAGACTAGCTGCTGCAATTGGTGCAGCAGAAATAGACGAGAAAATGGACTCAATAGACAAACCCAACTCTTTCTCGATGCATGAAAATGCCTCCGCGTCAGGGAAAGTTGGCAAAGCATCCTACTTGTACACTCAAACCAACAAAAACACAAAGTTAGAGACCTTCTGCAACCAATCAAGCAATCCATTAAGTTAACACCAGACAAAATTGATAAGAAGCAAATCGTTTTTCTCACAGTTAAAACCCGGAAAGTAGTTTCTTAAAGTTACAACTCTGCAAAATTCAATATATATACATGAGCCATTACTCCATTGCTACACGATAACCCAGATCAATGTAACGGTGAATCTACATGAAGTGCAATAAAATAACAGAGGAAGAAGAGCCAAACCTGAAGCTCTGCCAGTTCTTTGAGATATTCGGGTGGGCAGAGATCGGGTCGAGTTGACAATCCCTGACCCAATTTGACAAAAGTAGGACCCAAACGAGTGAAAATCCGTCTCAGCTCACCAGCTCTCTTCCTCATGTTCTGCTGCAGCTTCCCGTTCCTTTGATCAATCCCCAAATTCAGCGCGAAACCACCCAAAGCTACCAAAATCTCCAAGCTTCTACGCAAAGCCTAAGTCCAAAATCACCCGAATCCCCTCAACATCGCTTCGTTCAAAATGGAAATTCAAAAAAATCGGAAACAGGGAAAAAACCGGTAAAGTAGCTAAACCTTCAGGGGCTTGGAGCCGTATTTCGCGGCGAGAAGGTCGGGAGAATAAATAGAAGCATCAACGGCACGAGACAAGGCTCTCGCCTCCGCTTGGAGGTCATCGGCGAGATCCGCTCGCCGGTACGGCACAACCGCCGACGCCGGCGAGGGAGTTGAGGCCGCACCTCCGTCCCCCCTAGGCCTAGCCTCGACCAGAGCCGCTCGAGCCAACCTTCTCCTATTGACCATCAAAAGCGGAAATTTTCTGCCGCGTCTTCTCCAACTGTGCAACGGAACACCATCGCCAACAAGCGATAAACCGACAGGCACACCAACCACCAGACTCATCGTCTCCGTAACAATCGAGAATCGAAGAGAGAGAGTTGTTTCCGTCGGCTAAATGATTGATCGGCGAGTGACCGCCATTTGAGGAGGAGGAGGAGAGAGGATGGATATTTAAGAGAGCCTAATGAAGGTTTCGGTTAGTATTTTGGTGAAAAACGAGGCATATATTATATTACAAAAGAAATAAGGTCCACACTCTTCTCGTGCCGTGGCCTTCTCTCTTCAACAAGACATCTTTTGTACTCCTCCCCTGTAAAAAACAAAAACAAGCAAAATAAATATGCGTTATTTCTTTCTTATCCGTCTGCATGAGAAAATATTTATCTCATATTTAGCCTATAAATAACAAACATTTCCCAAGACTTAAGATCTGATCGGATATAATTTAAAAAAAAAATCAATTTAAAACACGTGAGAAGACAAATCTAAGCAAGCAATCCAAATTGAGGAAATCGAGAGGAACCTAATACCCACATGGGAAAGGCTGTCATATGCTTCGTAGTGAAGAGATCACATCATCTCAAAGCAAACCCGCAGAGATTTATCAGGAAACCTTGTCTTATTGCAATTCCTTCAAGCACGAGATTAAGGAAATAGACATTACCATAGTGATTGCACTTCCTCGGTTAAAAAATGGCTGACTTGCGTTCAAATACAAGAAAAGATTTGGGCATGGAGAGATTTAGCTGCGGTTTCGGAACTAGAAACATGGGATGGGTCAGCTGTAATTCAAGACACAAGCTTTTAGCTCAAGTGTGTTTTCAGTAAACAATAACGAGAAAAGCACACACCTTTGAGAAATAACTAATATCTAGTATTACCATGTTGTTGCTCATCATCACCGTCATTGTCATGGTCATCATCCGCGTTACGTTATTACCAGGGAAGAATGGGGTTAGGTAATTCTTGTCTGGTTCTGTGAAGGAAGGGGCACTGCAGACACATAAAGAATGAGATAGTATATATAGATTAGATATTCAGAGGAGATGGTTTCCTGAAGATGACACTTCACTGTCATACGGTGTCAACATGTAACGATTGTTAATCGCTTCGAACTCATGGAAAACAATTTAGTTAATGCCAATTGATGTATCAAAGCAGTGAAATAAACAGGGTCATACACAATGGCTGTGCAAAACTATTTTCCCTTTACTTATTTCACCAAGAGAAGCATCATACTTATCATCGCCTATAACCTCTAGCGTTTCGAGCATTGCACCAGTAGAGACAGTATACCAGCAAAACAAAAACATACTTGAGCGTTGTACCTCTAAAGCCAATCTTCAGCTATGTTACATACATGTACAATGGATCTCGCCATCTGTCAATCAAGCAACATGCCAAGGAGACAAAACCCCATAAGAAATGTGGAATCTTTTCCTTTCTTGTATATCCGATTTTAGAACAGGCAGGGAGATCATTATTTAAAGACCAGAACTTACAACATCACTTTAGACTGATTCTCCAAATATCAGTCCACACAAATTCACATCTATGTCAAGCTCCTGCCAGTGGATACAGTAGTACATGAACATCGAATCCTATGATACACACCAGTTCGCAGATTCCAGCAAATTACACCAGCAAGCCAGTAACAACGGAAGCTAGAAAGGTTCCGAGGATAGCAAAAGTGACCATGGCTCCAAAGTTAAAAAGAAAGGTTTCTGAAAGATTTCATTACGTGTATAAAGCAAGAAATCTCTTTTTCAGATAGTAGAACTGCAAAACAGGAAGCCAGAGATGAAAGGAATGTGCACTAACGGGTCGTAGGCTGAACCCTGATAATATACATATGTGCCCAAGTAGAATCACACAAGCATGCACATAAACATACATGGAAATTGAACCATGCACTGATGAGGAAATTGAATCATGCACTGATGAGGAAATTAACAAAAAAAAAATGCCATTCACAAACAAATTGATATCACCAAAAATAAAGTTTAACGTGTTTGTACACATGCAAACAAATAAGCATCTTTGAGTTTCCAGGTCACGCAAAAAATCAAGAGATGATAGAAAAAATAGAAAGAACTTTCAAGAACCCTATCCGTGTTCGAAATGTTCGCTAAACTACCAAAGATCAACCCTAAATTCCACGAATTTCACAAGGAATCGGATATCAAAATACGACGAAGACCTAAAATGGTGGTGAGGACGATCACAATGCGAGAGTGAGAGAAGAACACGAACGAACCCATGAGAAGAGAAGCAGTAGGTTTGGAAAGATAATCGAACTTATGACGAAAAAGGACGCGACCTAGGAAGAAGGACAAGACGAGAATCACGATCTGGAGGAGAATCCCCACTCCGGCGGCTTACTGCTGGTTCACCTGACCTTGAGGGTCGTGATCCGATGGCGAAATCTGCGCTCCGACATCACCGCCATTTCGACGCTGCAAAATAAATTCTACGAATTTCCCGCACTGTCACTTCGTCAAGCTTCTTCGTCTTCGTTCCCGCAGAATCACGGAATTCAGTTGAAAAAAATCTTCAAATTCGGAGACGATTTTTGTTCTTGTTTACTCGGGAGTGATATTTATAATTTATTGCAACACGCATCCACGTGGCAAATCTCCAGATGGGCTTTTATTTGGGCTTTTTATGGGCCTATTAAGCACTGACCCAATCGAATTGACACACGTGGCATATAGTAATTCAATTCTGCCCAAAATATTTTTGTACGCCTTTTATCATTTGGCGACCAGACAAAACACCGTTATATATTTTTCTTTTTTCGTATACAAATTCTAATATCCGATGATAGGAATAACAAACGGAAAATCACTGATCACATGAGAGAAACCCTAATTAAATCATTCATTATCCTTGATTTTCCTCCACGGCAAGCAAATAAGAAATACGAAGAACGACTTTAGAGGTAAAGGCAAAAATCTGTTCCCTTACTTGGGCTCGATTTTCGGCGGAACAGAGTATCCGCCGCTGTAATCAAAAGCTCCGCCTTCCTTCCTCCGCATATTCTCTCCGTACAGGTCCTTTCCGCCGCCCTGCCCGGCCGCGAAATCCGTTACTGAAGACGATGTCGAAGCAGAGGAGCTGGTGCCCGAGCCGTCGTTCTGTACGATAATCTCGATCTCCTTCACGACATCGCTCATCGTCGGCCTCTCGGCCGCGGAATCCTCGACGCATTTTAGGGTTAAGTCCAAGAACCGGCCGAATCCCGGCAAGATTCCGGCGTCTCTGAGGGGATGATCCATCATATCTCTCAGCCCACAGAATTCTCCGTCCTTCTTGTTCACCGCGAGCCTCACCTCTCGGACGATGTACTTCCCTTTCTCGATAGGTTGCTTCGCGGTTATTAGCTCGAGCATTACGACACCGAAACTGTACACATCGCTCTTCTCTGTGAGTTTTTGCGTCGTG